CACATTGAATCCAACAGTGTCATAAATGTACCTTCACCATTGAAGCATCTGCCTCGTTTGTTTTTCTGGGCACCTTACCATTGCCATTGATAATCATCTTAAAGCATTGAAAAAAAAACTAAATAAAGAATCTACTACACTACAAAAATATTGTTATATTCCAACGGAAAATTCTATGGTAATATATTCCAATGGAAATTTCAACAGATATTCTAATGGTATAGCTTCCGTTGGAATCATTCCAACGGAAATTCCAAAGAAAATATTCTGTTGGAATGTATTTTTCATTGGAATTTTAGATGGAATTTGATAATTCCAACGGCTATATTTCCAACGGCTTTTCACCGTAGGAATTTCCGTTGGAATTTTTATTTCCACCACCGTTGGAAAATCTACCGTTGGAATCATCAAAATCTAACGGAAATTCCAATAAAAAACTCATTCCAACGGAATATTTTTGTAGGAATTTCCGTTTGAATAATTCCAATGGAAATAATTACATTGAAATATTCATTAGAATTGCCGTTGAAATTCTATTGGAATATATTTCCGTTGAAATTTCATCATTTTCTTGTAGTGCTAGTTCTTACATTTATTGCTCTGTAAAACTATTTAGAGTGATAATTACCTAAATGACATTTATATTACTTACTTAAAAAAATATTTTCTAATGTTGTTTTTTTAGAGCTTATGTAATCTATATTTTTATGTTCAATATTACTTGTAGGTATAAGCATAATTAATTTGATAATATGTGACATTTTCATTTTTTGGTGCCTACCTCTCTCTCGTATGTTGATGACACTTGGTGTGGCTTTATGCTTGGTACCATAATTGAAACGTCTGTTGCATTGCTGATTGGCACCATTTTCGACTTCCTTAAAGAAGTTACCTATTTCAAAACTCATGGTTATAAACACTAAAATTTAATTTCAAAATTTAAAATAAGATAATTTAAATAATGTTATCAACATATGGTTCAGAATCGGAACTACATTTGTAAGACATTTGCATGAGCATGCTCAATATAATTAAGACTCTCTTTACTATTTTCTCTAACTGATGCAGTGAGTACCTCATTTTCATGCCTACTTGTTGATCCCTCCAACACTCTTTTTCCAGCCACCTGTTTAAATTTTTATTAAATAATTAGTGTTGCACTGGCAAAATACTCATTATTGTATAATTACATAGCTAATAAAATAAAATGCTTACTTGTTGCTCCTTCTGTTTGCTCTGTGGTTGCTCTTCTACCATCTTCAATGAGTCATTCACTGTGGAGGTATAAGTTACTAAGCTCAGATCGGCCATTTCATCTTGTGTTAGTCCAATTCCTAAGCTGAAGCTAGGACAATCGTCTACACAGATGGGGAACTGGTTTTTCTTCAACAAAGCATTTTCAATTTCTTCTATTTTAGATATGTTTGTTGGATCATTCCAAAAATCATCATCTGTTTGCATGCTTACAACTTCAGTCGCCTTAGGTGGTTCATATGAGGCTTGCAACGTAGGTTCTACAATATCAGCCCCTTCTTGTGGTTCATTCGAGATTTCCACCGTGTTCTTCCACTCCCCAAGGTTCTCACTAATTTTACCCATTTTGTGCAACTGGAAATGTTGTACAATCTTTTCTGCTGCCTCTTGTATAATTGGCATAAGTTCAACCATTGTTGCAGCAATGTCTGAATCTATAGTTGAATAACCACTTGGAGATTGATACGGATAACCAGCACCAAAACCACCAGCTTGGATTTCTTCTTTCTACCTTTTCCTTATCAATGAGTATGTCCACCCTCTTATAGATGGTATACATCTAGGTACTTTCCTTTAATAAAGAACAACTCTATCAACATAAACAACCTGCGGATACATCATTTATCAAGTAGAACATTAGTAATAAAATATTACAATATTTCATTTGTTAGAAAGTATCAAATAGAAGCAACTCACCATTAAGAACAGTATTGGCCCTTTGAAGAAGTAACTTTTGTTTTTGTCCCAGCTCATTTTGTGGTCAATTAGACACCTATCTGAAGAATCATCTAAACTGTCATTCTTTTCATTCTTTTCCATCGCTCTGTTCTTCATCATAAACTCTCTGCTAGGAACATTACTTCGGACATTATCAGCCCCTCTCTGATTCTCATTATTCATTTTCTGATCAACTTTTGAAGTCTGTTCAACATAAACACCTTCAACATACCTGAACATTGCATTTAATCCATTCCCATTCTTGTCGTTTTACATAGAATTTCTGCTACTTTCATCCGTTTCCCAATTGTTTCTCAACCTTTTCCTCATGCTTACACTTTCAATGCTTTTTTTCTTTTACACTAACACTTCTTAAAAGAACCTGTACACATTCTATACCTTCATTACATTTTCATTAATAACAAAATAACCATATTAATAGAAAACTTTGAAATACAAACTGCAAGTGTTTATGTCAAACTGAATATTTAATTTTTAAAATCAACATACATTATATGATTTATGTTTGCTCAAATTATGTTTATATCAATATACAAACAAGTTTATGTTTATGTTTGCTCAAAAATATCAAACTGTTAACTAATCACTGAATGTTTATGTTTGCTCACCCCATGTTGTTACGCCATATTCTCCTATACAGGTTACTAGTTTTTATCACTTTCAAACCAAACAAACAAGCACCGAAAACATGTTTTAATTATTATCCCAAAACATGATACTAAATATACTACTAATGCAATTAATTAGTAGAGTAACAACAACTACTAAAAAAAATCTTTTCACAAAATGTTAATCAAATAACTCAGTTTATGGATTCCTACATAAACTTAATACTCAAATTTCTACCTTATGCTAAACTAGTTTCTGTCTTCCTCACCAAAGGGAAACAAAAAACAAATAAATAAATATATATATATATATATATATATATATATATATATATATATATATATATATA